GAGGGGCGGGAGCGGCCGCYAGGGGGCAGCACCCCCGCCTCCCCTCACGGCCCAGCGCGGGCTCCTCATTCCCGCTCCGAATCCCTCAAGAGACAACTCCCTTGAAACCCGGCCAAAAAGGCCGTCAAAACGGGTGCGTTGGTTTCATTTGTTAGTTGAGCTGGTGTAAAAATGGTGATTAATTGATATTGTTAATGCAGTCCTGGTGTACATTTAAATTTGGATATCGGCTGCGKTAAATGATAGGGTTTAACATTCTGTCGGTCACCTGGGAACATGTAGCTATTTGTTACAGCTATTTATTTAAAAGTGTGAGTTTCTTAGTAATCATGCTGTACACAATTTTTCCCTCCTTTCTCTAGTTCTGGAATATATATATATATATTTATACACTGAGAAATTTTTTTTTAATATCTTGGCTTGAATTCTCCACAAAATTTGAGGTTTTAATTAAACCTCAAATACATCCTTCAAACACTTCCTGGTCTTTTCCACCATCCAAGCATCCAGGGATGCTTGACAACAAAATTATAATTTGGTACTTGGTAGCAGAATCATTGGTTCCTGCCTTCTGTTCAGGCCACTGTCTATTTGCCACTTTGTTTTTGGTTTCTTGCTTTTTTTAAGATCACTTAAATGAACTTTATGCAGGCGTCAACTCACCCTGGTGTCATGAAAGCAAACAAGAAAACAAATAAAAGCTACGTAAGTCATGTTGCCTATCCTGTCAGTGTTCTCTGACTTAAATCCTTTGCTAGAAAGAGAACAATACTGCCTTTTAAAAAAATTATCTCAACAGGAACTATCATCTGACTTTTCAAGGTCTGGTTTTTTTTTACTTAGGCTTTTTTTATTCAGCTTTTTTTTTTTTTTTAGTACTACCTTTTTTTTTTCCTTGCTATTATCTCTAAGGCGGGTAAATATGAAAACTCCTGACCTTCATAGAAATATAAGGTATTGGCAAATCTCTTTGATAATATGATTTATGTTTAAGTTATCTAAGATTCAGTTCCTAGATTAAAAAACACCCATCACAGGCTGTTTGTTGAGAGCTGATGAGTTAAACGAATCATCTGCTGAAGACACTTATTCTCCTCATTGCCTGCAGCTGGATCCTGAATAAAATGTGTACTCGAAACACCTGGGGTGGGTTTCAATTGCTTAAATATCCAGTCCTGAGAATTTTGTGGCTTTTGACTGCTTGGAAGGGCAGTTTGGAGCTTGCAGATGACAACTGGTGGAGCCACACGTCCTCTGAAGCTGCAGGTAAGTTTGCCCAAATTATATGGGCAGGGAAAATGTTCTTAGGTAAATTTGGTGTTTAAAAAAGTTGCCAAAATAATGCAGGAGCTTCTTTCCTCTGCGAAATCTGAAAACATGCAAATTGTAATTTTTCYTTTTCATGTTGGGGTTCTTCTGTGCTGACCTGAAAGGAAAGCCTTAGGAGGGCATTTCATTTTTTACACCATCCGGGTTTTTCCACTCCACCTTTCCTTGTCTTTTTCCTTACATTTTTTAATTCATACTGTGATTATTTTTTATTTCTTACTTGTTTTCTTACTCCTGTCTCCTTCACGTGCCTTTCCTACAGCTGCATTTCASGCTCTACCTCACTTTCTTAACACTTCTGGTTTCAACTCCCTTCTAATTATTTTCTGTCTTACTTGGGCACTAAGAATCTAAATTATATGCAAAGAGAAAGCAAATACATCATGTTGCAGAACTRTAYTGTCCTTGAGGGCTAYGGCAAAAAAACCTACAAATACTTTSTAGAATCATCATAGAATCACAGAATGGTTTGGACTGAAAGGGGCCTTAAATATTGTTGGAGTGAGCATCTGTGTGTGTCCTGACACATTTTWGTGTGTGAGAACTGTGTCAGGCTCTGTGAGGCTCAAAGTCTTGGTGCAGCACCATGGGGTGTGTGCAGTTTACAGGTTGTAAAACAAAGAAAACTGGTGTTTGACTGTAGAGGAACACAGGTTTCCAAATACGAGGGGCAAGTTCTCAGCAAACTTTTTTGTGCTCGTTTATCTCTGCAAGATGGAGCTGGAAACTTTTTAAGGTATCAGTTGTAAGGGGAAGATCAGCGACAGCTTACTGTGCTGGTACGGTTTCTTTGTCGAGTTTTTAGCTGGAAGCAGTTCGATTTAGCTTTAGACTCCGCGATTCCAGGAATATTATGGTACGTGTAGCTGAGAAGGGAAGTACACAGCGCGCGGCGTGTTTGGTGTGGTGTACAAGGGGCAAAGGGACGGTGCAGACCAGTAGTGAATTTTTCCTCTAGCCCTTTTTATATGGGAAGAGCTGCTGCAATTTGAAGGTTTGAAACTGAAAAATCCGCAATTTCCGCAGAGCCGCGCCCGGCCGGTTTGGTGCGGCGGCCGCTCATCCCGGGATGCGGCGCTCCGGAGCATCGCTCCGCGCACTGCGGCGGGGCCGGGACTGGGATYTGGGGTTCGGGTCGGATCCTGCCGCTGTTGGAGGGGCGGGATGCRGGTCCCGGGACCGGGATCGCGGCTGGGAGCAGGCGGGGTCCAGGGGACACCCCCCCATCAGCCCCGCGGGCGCCCTCTCGCGGACACGGAGCGCCGGTGCCGAGAAGCGACCTCCGGTGGGCAGGGAGCGGAACGGCAGCCGGCTTGGGAGTTTTAATTAATTTATTTATTATTTGTTCATTTATGTTCACGTTGAGCTTCTCCACGCACACAGGGCATGATAAATTTCTTGCCAAGGCTCCAAGTGACCAACTGAGCCCATGTGAAAATGCCCCAGAGCATTCTAAATAATTTGGATTTTTTTTTTACCAGCCTAGGGAAAATTATTTTTGAGAAAAACCCAAAATAAAAAGATACAGGGTCTGAGGGGAAGAGAGGGGTTCTGCATTAAATTAAAAATGCACTGGGAAAAGTAAATCTCTGGAACATCTCATCTTCTCTCCCAGCCTGGCTTTTGTGGGATTTTCTCTGATTCCAACTCTTCTCAGGGGAGTTTCAACCTGTGGGGTTATACTGAGCTGCTGGATGCTGAGCATGATGGAAAACAATGGGAAAACTCTCTGGATCAGGCAGTGGAGTCTCTTTAGTGCCATAACACAAAACAACATTAGACTGGCAGGGGAATACTGACAGTTTATTTCACAGAGCATTGCAGAGTTTATTTTGGTCTAACTCTATTCTCATMAAAAAAGTGTCATCCTCTTTAAAAAAAAAAAAAGGTAGCAAATATTCAGGACAATAACAGTCAGTATATTATGCATGAAATTTCGGTCTTAAAAAAAAGGAAAAAAAAAGTTAACTGGGAAAACAACTCTTTGTTGGATTGCTTTTAACACTTCCAAGCTTTTTAGCATTTAACCTCTCAATAACGTCATCTCCAAGGATAAAAACAGAACATGCAGGTGATCACCAACAGAGGCTGAGATTTAACAACATCTCTCACTTGGCAATGACAATCCACCAGGAATGTTTCAATACAGCACCACATCAAAGGGAGAAGCAACTTAGTTCTCAAAATTCCTTCAAATCCACCAAAATCTTGCAGTTCTGCAGAACAAGTCACAGTGTATTTCACAGACTTGTGAGTACCGTGGAGAAGGGCAGTACTTGGGGAACGTAAGAGGRAGTGTGGACCAGGGACTTATTCCACTTAGATTCATAAAAACCCAGGGGAGATGCAAAGGAATTAAAGCCTTGATTTTAGGTGGTGCTTTTTGGARCATCAAAATCCACATTTTCATTACCTTTTTTATTTCTTTTACATAGATAAGTTAGCCACTTTTGTCCCCAATTCTTACACACTAAGCCCAAAACTTCAGGTTTTCAAATACCACTGGATTTCAGCTTAAAAGAAAAAGGACAGACCACTTCCAAAACAAGAACAAACTGCTCAGGGGGCTGTTTCTCTAGTGGCTTAGGGTGTAGAAGGTGATGTATATCAGTATCCCCCAGACTGTCTTCTCCTCTCCTTTTTTTTTWWAATTTTTATTTTTTTACTTTTAACCTCTGGTCTAAGATTTTGGTTTAAAGCCTTTTGCATTGGAAACTTGCTGATGGGAGCCCCTATCTTCACGAGCCCATCAGCATCTGCTGCAAGACCATTGCCCCTCTGGGGGACATGAACATGCAGCTTTAAAGATCCTGCTTTTACAGCAAGGAGCAAAGGTCTCCTTGCAGGAATAAATTATATCCCAGGGCTGCTTTGCCTTCCAAACTATTTACAACTTCTTCACCCACAGGTGTCTCTTCTTGGCCCAGACGGGGAAGTTCCCACTGCACCACCACCTTCTCTTCCAGAAGGGAAGCAAGGAGTGACTGCAAATGCCACTTGCAGTGGCAGGCACTTCAGCCAGATCCCAGCAGTGATGGTGYCCATGGCATTGCTTCTCCCAAGCCATGCAGGCTCCCAGCAGAGCCCAGCCTGGGGAGAAGAGAGAAAAAAAGGGGGGCAAAAAATAAAAAACTGCTGCCAGCAGAGACCAATCCACAGGCAATGCTCAGGATTTGCCTTCAAAACTCTGGCAGGACATTCCAAGAAGGCCATTCCCCATTGAGCATCCAGGCTTTGGGGAGTGGGGTTGAGACAAAGAGAAGGTGCCCAAGTGACTGAGCCAGTGCAACCCCTCCCCTGGCTCTGAACTTTAGCAGGGAAGAGCAGCGTCAATTCCTCTCCTAGGAAAGCTTCTCTTCTCCCAACAGCCTCCTGTTGCATCCGAGCTACAATTTCATTGCCCAGGAAAAGGGAGAACAAGGGAGAAAAAAAAAAAAAAAAACCATAACAAAATCAACACTTCACAAAAACATCACAACATTCAGCTACACAGTCGCTGCACTAAAGGAAGGACTGGGTTAGGGACAGGGGGAGAAAGGGCACACACGTCCAACGTGCTGCTCCCAGAAACCCCAAGGAGACTCAGGCTCTCACGTCAAAATTCAAAGAACTTCAGCCATAAGGTTGAGGATTTAATGAACACAGTATTTCCACTCATGCCCTGGAAAAAAAAAAAAAAAAAAAAAAAAAAAAAAAAAAAAAGACAAAAAATTTCAGATTTTCTACATATTTACAAAAATAAGCCCCCCAGCCTCACAACCAGGGAGGTGGAGCAGCCAGTGGTGGGGAGTGGGACGGGGTTTGTGCCCGACCAGCAGTTCCTCAGAGGTTCCCATCCCATGGGAAGCAGGAGAGCACGGCTCTCGCTGCTGGAGCAGAGCCCTCAGCTGATCCGCAGCTTGGTGTCCCGGTGATCCGTGGGGGTCACCATCTCGTTGGCATAGCCATTCTCGGAGCAGAAGGACAGCTCGTCTGTGGTCTCCACGCCATTGTTGATCTCTGGGAAGGGCACAGAAAGCAGGGATGTCACCCCAGGGTGATCACAGGAGCATCCCCCCCTGCATGGGGAAATTGAGGCACTGAGCAGCCATGCAATCTCAGCACGTGGGAATCCATCTGATCCTGTGGGGAGTTCGGAACACTGCACTCATCTACAAACAGTTCTGAGCAGAYCTGCCTCCAGTTTGGAACTCAGCTCTACATTTCAGCTCTTCACCCTCCTGCCACCACCAGAGGCAGAGCTGGATCTCCCCTACACCTGATRTCATTGTCACATCTTGAGCAAATTACCTGTGGGAGAATGGTACAGTGTACCCAAACCTAATCCCTACTCAAATGGCCATACCAGAAAAGGACTGACTCCTTTAGTCACTGGTTTCACTGGGAAAAAGCTGCACCCACCATTGTTTTAATGGCCAACACCCATGCTAGGCAAGAACAATTGTTTCAGAAGCATGAAACTTCAATCTGCATCCCGTACCTCTGAGGATATTTTATGTCTGGGATGTTTTATGTCTAGGACATGGTGGGGAAGCTTAATTCTGCAGTGCCCAACTGCTTTCCTTKTCTGGGTTCCCTGGATTTACACCTGATTTTCATCACCTCTGGCTGGCATTTCACACAATAAGCAAATTTGCCTTTTTGCTGTGTYTGTGCCCAGTGCACTAAACCCTGATCCCTGCTGGGCATCTCCAGACCCTAAATACAAAAAAAGAAAACCCATAACAAAGCTCAGGGGGTGGGGGGATTATATTCACATTCCTTCAAAGGTGAGTTTTCCAGCTTCATGCACCACAATTAACCTTTTAAAGCTAAACATTTCCATCTTTGCTTACATTTTTGAGATCTTTCTTAGAGGTGGCATGTGATGGACACATTATCAATGTTTCCCAGCAGAAATAAACTCTGGGAGGAGCACAAGGGTATCAGGAACCCCTCAATCTCTAATGCCATTGAATTTCAGGTCTACCCCAAACTCATCATCAAATTTGTGGTCACATATGCCATTATTGAGTRGGTTTTATGGCTTTTGACAAAGGAGAGCTGAGAAGATGTGGGGGGAGTATAAGATGGGATAACTTGGGAAGCTAAATGCAGGATTTCTGAGCATACCAGTGCTCAGACCTGAACCAGTTTGGGATGGATCACAGAATCAGAGGATGGTTCGGGTTGGAAAGGACTTTAAGGATCATCTTATTCCAAACCTCATGAGCCCTGCCATATCCCACAGGTACASTGCAGCAAGGTCAGTCCAGTCCCCCTGATCCACATCAGGAAAAGACCCGAGTCAAGACCAGCTCCTCCCTCAGGAGGGTGACAGCTGARGGAGGGACTCACCAGCCCCATCCCTACCTGAGAAGATCAGCTTCTCCTTCATGATCTTGACGTCCTGGCTGGAGCGGCGGACAGCAGCACTGAGCATGATCTGCTCCGGGTTGTAGGTCCTGATGCTTCCCAGGCGCCACCTGCAAGACAGGAGCAGAGTTTCAGGGACTGGTCTGTCCTGACACAGGATCATCCTCCACACAAGTGACCACCACCAAGTCCCTTAGCTCCCTTGCACCTACACAACCCCATGTGGTAGGAGGATGTTCAGAGATGAGTATTACCTCAGGCATCTTTAACCACTCTGAGCAGCCTAATTCCACTCAGGAATTAGACACATGGGCTCACAGACCCATGAAATAATTTCCCCAAGGACTGCAGCTGYCCCACAGCCCTCTCCAGTGGTCCAACGGAGACAGAGGTATTGTAACTCTTAGAGGGAACAGAACAAGAGAACAAGGCAAGTAAAAACCCACAATCTTTCCCTCACTGAGTGCACAGTCAGGCTTGTGGGAGAAGAGAGCTCAGAGACAATTTCAAGTCTCAAACCTGAGATACAGCAAGGAAATGGTTCAGACTGTGCCAGGGGAGGTTCAGATTTGATCATAGGAAATATTTCTTCCCAAAAAGGGTTGTCCAGACCTGGCACGGGCTGCCCAGGGCACTGGTGGAGTCCCCATCTGTGGAGGGATTTAACAGCCRTGTGGATGTGGCACTTGGGGACACAGAGAGCAGCCTTGTAGCAGCCCCTCTTTAGGAGGGGAAGGTGGKCTGCTGGAACAGGGGAAAACATGGCTTGGTGGGCTCAGCCAAGGCAGCYGTACCCAAGATCCCACCACAAAGAGATGGTGTTTAGTCCAGGCTGTAATAGCCCACACCCCACCGACCCTTCAGTAAATCCACCTTCCCTGCCACTGGATGCCCTAAAACAATTTGATAAAGAAATAACAGGGATTTAGGCCAGCTTGTGAGGTCTCTGATCTGCTGGCACCATCTAGTGGCTCACCCACACAAGAGAAGGTGATTATTTATTCACTAATTTATTTACAGCTGACAATCACCTTCTCTTTAATTTCTAATCCCCTACTCAGYCCCAGGAGCAGAAGATTGATGGAGCCCATAATCTCGAGCCTGCGTTTACAGCATCAGCCTGACAAATCAACACCCACAAAAGAAGTTCTGCAAGTTTTTTTTTTYCCCCAGGAAAATCTAGCTGGTGTCAGTTTTGTGAGGTTTCCACCCCCTTCCCAAATCACAGTGGTTGACACTGGGTGGTGACCATCAGGCTTTGACCAGGGTACAGATGAAGGCTACACAGAAAAGGGGTGGGATGGCAACACAACACAACTCACAGACCCATGGACAGAAGCAATGCAGAGGAAGCACAAGGAGGCAAAGATGTTAAAGTATAAAACAAAACTAAAAAAAAAAAAAAAAATAATTTTCTTCTATCATCATCATCATCATCTAAACTGAGCCACTCCTACCTGGAAGAATATTATTTTTGGCCTTAGTCCCCTGTAGACAGATCCCACTAAGGCCAATGTGGTTGCAAACCTCACAGGATAAGACTCTCCTTAAATCAGGACCAAAACACATTGGTACAACAACGAGCCTTTTCTTTGCCCACCACACCAGGATTTCAGAATCAGGCCAGGCTGTGTGGCCAAAAGTGGCCTTTTCCCCACAGATCCCAGCCACCCCATGGAGGACACAGGCCATTCTGAGGCACAGAGAGCTCAGCCTCGAAGGGGTGCAGCGACCAAGGCCTTTTCTCCTCCTGCCTTGYTCTCCATCTCCCATGGTGGCTGTGGGCAGACTCAGGATGGTAAAACATGCACAAGGAGATGATGGCTCCTCTCACAGGGGTGCCTTGCTCTAAGTCAGGAGAGGGTAATCCCATCTTTCAGGGGTGCTTTGAAATATCCTCCTAAAAGAGCCACCAGTACATTTAACCACAATCCAACTCCAACCACCACCATGTGAAACACTCTGTGCTGTGCTCAGTAGCCTTGAAGTCTCCAAAAAGCTGGTTGAATAGAAAATAGCACCTCTCCTACCCCCTTGGACTCTGTTGTGATGGACCAGGTTTGGGACAGCAGCGTGCAAAAAGGCCAGAAAGACAGCAGGAAGGTCCTGTTCTGGGAGGCTGGCGTCAGAGCAGACCAGACGGACACGGGGTGGGAACAGACTAAAAAATACTGGGACAACAACACAGAGACAGCATACACCGGGTTAGGGCTACGGCCAGACCCTGGGGTGGGAGGGGAGATGCTCAATGCCATGGAGAGGGGGTGCGAGAGGGGCAGATCGAGGAAAAAATGGGATTGATCAGCACTGAGGTGAGAAGATGGAGTGAGTACAGAGCCAAGCCAGCTGCCAAGAGTYCCCATCCTGCACCTGCTCCTGCCTAAAGCCTGCCCAGATCCTCCATGCCTGCCTTCTCATCCATGAGCAAGGGGGAGGCGAGAAGGGGAGAACACCCGACCTCCCTGACCCACAGGAGGGCTCTGCCCGGCCCCATAGCCATGCCCTGTTTGGGGGAGATGCCACAAGGCCATAATAGCGCGATCTGAGGCAYCTCATGGGCACCTGCAGGGGCCAACCCCCACCCTGAGGCAGTGGGTGGGAGAGGGAAGGGACAACCAAATCCTCAGGAATACAACCCCACAGCACAGAGCGGGAGCAATGGAGAAGGGAACACATGAAGAGTTTAGTCCGAGTTGGGAGGWGGCGAAGGCTTTACTGCAGACAAGTGACAGCACTTCCCTCCAAGGGGATGGGAACAGCCAATGCCAGGAGAAATCTGGGATTCTGACTGATGGCCCTTCAATCCAGCACCCCAGGCTCATTCCCTCTCCAGCAAGTGCTCTGTATTTTCACACTGCATTTCCAGTTTCACAATGGTGTAACTCAGGAACATCTGAAGCACTGAAGGCAGCAATCGATGAGCCAACCTTTCCAGTCATCAGCCCCATTAACTCAGAGAATTAAAGCACTACTTCATATAATTRAACAGGTTCTATGATTTTCTTTAGAATTGGCCAATTTAGAAGAGRTTGGTCGCAAACACCTCTGGTAAATTCAGGAAGGAAGGGGATACTTTATTCAGATTATTTCCACAGAGAAAGTATTACATCCTCCAGGAATCTCCCAATTACAACGTGCCCCAGGACCTCAGAACTGGGCTGTTTTAAAAGGCATTGTAACATAAGGTCAGATTGCCTTCAAAAMATCCACTGGCTTCAGCATCAGACTTCCATGGTGCTCATGGCTATGAACTATGCAATGTTCAAACTCTCATGGTCCCTCCTCCGGATGCCAGATGTTGGACAGCATCAGGAAAAGGTGCATCCTACCCTGTCCATCTGCAGTGAAGCCATAGCAGAGAGGGAGAAAGAAAGAGAGATAGGAAGCCTGAATGAAAAAGAGAAAGAGGAAAGCACCAGAATTACCTGATCATGTGATAGCTGTGAGATGCCAGAATGCAGCAGAGAGAGAAAGAGGAGGAACATGCACAACAGTCAGAGCAGTAAGAAAATAAACAAGGCAAAGAGGCAAAAAAAGATTAGTTAGAAGTCATCACAGTTGGTATTTCCCTTTGGAGAGGCTGCCACGATCCTGCCACAGGGCTGGAGCAGAAGAGCAGGAGCAGCCCCTACCYACGGCTACGGACGAGAGAGAAGCCATGCGGAGGAGAGAGGACGAGCACATCGAAGCAGTGCGTCTGCACCCACCCACCCCCTCATCCTTGCATGAAGGAAGAAGTTCTGGTTTGCCCCAGAAAGGACTTCAGGAAGAAAACCAAACTGACCAAACAAAAAAAACACCAAAAAATCAACCATGACACTGAAGGCCAAATGCCAAGCCCTATTTCCTAGATCTGAATCACATCAGCAGGGGATAGTTGGGCAATTCTGCTCTGATTTGGTTTTGATATATCCTCAACTCTCCTATCAATTTTTTCATGTGGTGGAGAAACTGGAACATCAGTGAAATGGGTCTGTCCTGCACAAGACTCTTGGAAGAGCAAGCCCTTTGCTGCAGAAAAGTCCAACTTCTGGTTGTAGAGTTTCTCCTTCTTTCTAACTAAGCAACTGATTTGATTTGCTATATCATAATGTTTCCCATAATAGTTTCCTGCCTATGGGGGAAAATTCCAGGAGTTGGAACTAAAAGATTAAATGATCTTTAAGGTCCCTTCCAACCCAAACCTTTCCATGATTCTGTAATATTTCTTGTCCTTCTTCATCCAAAGAGGAACAAACTGATTTAAGAAAACTGTAACATATTCTTATTGAACACACCATGGAATCTCRAAACCCCTCTTCTTGTCTTCCTTTAAAGCATTTTGATGACTTTCTCAATGTCTATTTCCCTAAAGCATTTACAGTTTCTCTTCCACATRTTTTAGGAGCAAAGCAAGGCATCTGACACTACTAATTTCTGATCTCTCATTCTTCTTAAAAGGTGGATCCAATTCTACATCCCATCTTGGGAATGCAATTTTTGTTTGCAAGGATTTTTTGATAAATATTTCCCCTGGTATTGCAATCCAAGAACTGAAGGTCAGGGTGCTCCTCTCTCCCATCTCTACCCGATAATCTGCACAAAAACAGGTCACAAATACACAAGTGCAGAGCTGTAACAAACTTACTTCTGGAATATAAAAACTCCTACAATTACGAGAAATGAAATGAGATCAGACGTGATCCAGATTAGGTGGTACTCGTCTGGAGGCTGCAAGACAGAAAACAGAAGCAGACCTTAAACATTTGGGTTTGTGCAATCATRGGGGGACCACACATGGCTGAAGTTACCACCAAGGAGCAAGAAAAGCACAGAGCTGCAGGGGTCGGGTGTAAATCACAACATTTATGACCTTCCTAGTGCCAGGCTGTCATCCAAAACTATCAGGGAAAACTGAGAACAGGAACAATTTGAAACTCTCCCTCCTTTAGTGTGCTGACATTTTCTCAGAGCTCAGTGGGCTGAAAGTTTCCTCCCTCAGCTGTACCTCAGGGTGAGGCCAAGGTGCTGTTTGGCAATCCAAGTCTGGGGGAAAATGAAAATAAATCCCTRTGTGACATGCAGGGGCTGTTTTAAGTGCAGATGGGAGCTTTTAGGCACAGTGCCCATGCTGTATGTGCGATTTCTATCCTTGCAAGCACTGGTACGTCTGGTTCCAGGTGCCAGTCTTAAGTGGTCATCACACCAGCTGAGCCCAACTGAACCATCATCACCTGGTCTCTACTTGTTCCTTGTCCTCTGGTGGTAGCCAGGGGTACAACTTGTCCTCTCAGTTTGGGATTAGCAACAGGCAAAAATCTCATTTTGCAACTTGGCCAAAACACAGAGGCCTGGTTTGCTGGTTCACCACTGTGCCTGCTTCTCCTCCAAGTCTAACAGATGTCAGCAGGTCTGCAAAGATGCTTTTCCCTCAGAGGAAAACTGCAGAAATCATGTGGGTTAAATAGGGAATGCAATGCAATCCCCAAGGATCCCACCCTAACTGTACTGAGACAAGGCCATCTAAAGGGATTGTGCAGGAGGAGCGTTGACCCATTACCATCTCAGGGGGAGAAAATCCTCAAGCCTAACCAAACCTTAGAAAATTCCACAGGACACAGGACTGCAGAAGKCAACACCCCTACACCTCCTCACAGCATTTTCTCCTCCCAGGAGCTTCCCAGCCCCTTGCCAGGGTGGCGCTTACCATGAGCCAGATGGGGAAAGGCACCTTGCGGAGGACGTGGGAGCTGTCAGAGGTGACCGAGGGGACGCCGGCGCACCACAGGATGGAGAACAGCCAGGGCTCGTTCACCGTGTACAGGTTCACACTCAGGTTGGCCATGGCGTAGTCCCTGCCAGGGGACACACAGGGTGACATGACAAACCTTACACCTTCACCTCCAAGAGGAGAGCTCTTGTCATCAGCTGTAATCACAGGTTATCAGGATTGAATTGTGTGAAATCGGGTTTTTAATAGGGTGTGGTCACTTCAGGAGCAACCCAAGGGCACTGCAAGCTGCTGGTTTGATCCTGACAGCTTTCCTCACCTCTTGGCTGCTGTCTGGCACAGGCCACGGACCATCTCAGATGCTTCCCCAGGAATGATGGACATGGTGTGTTTCTGGAACAACCATCTCATCATGCTGATGCGAAATTAGCATCTGCCTCAGACGCCTGTAACACTCCAGGGGCAATTTGCTTAATTAAACACTCACAGACCTGTCTCCAACATCAATTCCTACAAATTCCATGTCCTTGTTTTGGGGACAGTTGCAGAGTTACACCTTCCAGCCCTCCAAGGTCATTTTCCAAGCAGCTAAAATGGCAAGCTGGGGTCCAGGAGCTGCCAGCAGCAAAGCATTGGCAATTTTCTGGTACCCAGCTAATTTGCATAAACTGYTCTGTTTCCTTCTCTATGAAGCAGAAGCATCGATAACTTCCCTTACATGGGCAGCACAAATTAATCCCTGAAATTTAATTATGGCAAGGTATTCTGAGGTGGAAGGCTACAGTACAGAGTGCGGACATCTTCAAGCTCACAAGAAGATCAAGCTGCTCCAAAGGGGTGCTCAAGGGCAGAAGTGGTTGCAGCAATGTTGCATCCAGGGGCTGGTTTTGGGGAGAATCGAGAGAACTGTGTTAAACCAGGACTGCAGCCACATTTGACTGGGCACCACAGTGTAACAGAAACATTCAGGTGACAGTTCTGATTTGGAGTCAGCTGGAGTGGGATTGATGGGAGATTGGGGCGGATGAACTGGGATAGATGAATGAGCTGCCATAGGGTCCTCTCCATGGGAAAGAACAAGTAGGTAAGGGGAAAAATAAGCAGGATTTATCCTGCAGSTAAAGCACAGACTTGGTTTTGAGGGTGAGGAGCTTAACTGATCGCTGGCAGCCATGGGAAGACACAACTGGATCACACTAAACAGGGACACATTCTCAAACAGCTGTGGGCTCAGCTCTTCCCTACTTACTCTAACATGCAGCAAGACAGCTCCTTTGGTGATATTTCTCATCTGCAAACATGTTTCATTTAAACTTTAAAAACCAGAAAAGCCCTGCTAGAAACAATCTGCCCTCCCTGAGAAAAGGGACAAAGCCAGGAGCTTAAACACCACACAGTTCAAACACAGGCTCAAGCAGAAGGACAAGAACCCCTTGCTGGGCCAGGGTTCATTACAGAGAAGAGCTGATAGTCTAAATAGATGATATAGAACAGGAATTTATCTTTCTGCAGAGAGAAATTTCTGAAAGCTTATTCAGACTTTGGATTAATCAAAATTCCATGGTAGCAGCTCTGGAGCAGACGAACGGAAGCAAAGGGTAGCTGCTAATGAGGATGAAACAGCACTCAGAAGGAACTCAGTGTGAAAGGCCTTCACTTTTTCCCAGAGCTGTGAGTGCAATAAGAATCAGCCAATTCATACATTTCTATTTCAAAGAGGATCATCATATCCTGAGATAGCACACAGAGATGTCAAAGGCAGCTGTGCATGCCCAGAAACAGTCTGGATTCCGACTGATGGATAGAGAAAAGCTTGTAAAGCTTTCAAGAGCAAATCCACGTGAAAAGATCCCTCTGTGCAGGCAGGACAGGCTGGGATGCTTGGGAAAGGAGGCTGTGGGCTCTCACACAGGGCTGTACCTGACATCCTCATTCGTGACCTTGGTGTACCGCAGGTTGAGCCTCACAATGCCCTTCTCCTTCAAGCGCTCTGCATCCAGCTTGAGGCCAGAAGTCTGCTGGAAACCTGGAGCAACCTCTCTGACCAGCTGCCTCTCCGTGTCTGGCAGCCACATCACCTGAAGAGGGAAYGAGACAGGCCACAAGTTATAGCAAAGGTGGTTCCCAAATCTGGGAACACTCCAGCCCAGAGCATGGAATTCCCAAAGATCATACCAAGTTTCCAAAGCGTGTCAGATCAGTAGCTCACACTCAKCTGCCAGAGGTAAAGTAGATCATTTAATCACAGAGTAGTTTGGGTAGAAAGGGACCTTTACAGTTATCTTTACACTTATCTACCAAAGCATCAGAGCAGCAGAGAAGCAGCCATGTGGATTTCCAATAGGAAACCAAAAATCTGAGCGTGAAATCCCACTTCACATGCCCACATCTATGTTTCAACTATTTTCTCTTGCTCTTCATTTCCATTGTGGACTTAGAGAGGGCTTAAGRAAAAGGAGGACAATCAGTTTCCTTATATCCTGAGACAACCTCTCCTGAGGTGGTCCACTCCAGCCTCTGGGACACTGGCATAGTGCACAGCATGACTTCCTGGCATAGCATGGCACTTCAAATCCGAGAGAGTCACTCAGGCATTGATGCCTGGAGACACCCAAGGATTCATGGAAGCCCTAAAGGAGGTCCATTTTGGAAACATCCCCAACACCACAGAACTCACAGCCTGCTGCCGAATTCCCGATGCCAGGATGGTTTCCAGGGTGATGTTGATGTAAGTGCTGTAGTAGGGATGAGCTGCTGGCAGCTCCTGGAAGTTCAGGATGAGGGATGTGTTGTCCTTGATCACCTCCAGCATATCTTCTAGCTTGCAGACTGACTGGTTGGCAGCCTCTAAGTAGTCAGCTCTTGAGAGAGACCCCGCTGTCCAGAAAGGGTCATTCTGAAAGCAAAGCACATCCCAGGATTACTGCCAGAAAGTCCAGGCTCCCCCAGTGCAAAGGCTGAACTTCTTACTTTTTCTCTGTGAAGGTGACTGTCCCAAAAGTAAATTTTTAAAAAAAGGAATGCTGACTTTTCTGTCCTCTTTAGAATCATGTTCACCTTCCTGGGGTCTTGAAGTTCTTTGGGGTGTCAGCCAGGCTTAAGGCCCCTTCTTCCAGGTGGCAGAAAAGGCACAGAAAGACAGCATGGCTCAGACCAAGTCTAAGTTCAGTAGAGACAGAACTAAGTGTGGTCTATGGACACTAGGTCCAGCTGCACCACATCACCAAGGAGGTGGGTCTACACCTTTCCCCCTCAAAGAGGAGCTGGGCATGAACTGTCATCCCATGGCCCCAGGGTACCCACCTGCAGGAACCACTCTCCAGCATTGAGCTTCTCCAGGTCAGTCCAGTTGAACATGGAGGAGTGCTCATAGGCCCGCTCTGGAAACACTTCCTCCACRTTTGTTGTTCTCCTGAGAGTCTTGTCATGCATCAGAAAGGGCACCCCATCATAGCTGCAAAGACAGGCCCTGTTACAGGTGGAGGAGAGAAATTCCCCTTCCTGCTCCAGCCTCTCTCACATCAAAATCCTTATGAAGGTCTCAACCAGCCTAAAAAGTCCACAGCATCCTCAAGAGGAAAATATCTCTTAGATACCTGCTAGATGTTGGCAGTCATTCCTACACTGACATGATCCTATCCATGCCTCATCCATCTCTCCCTCTCTCTTCCCCTTTACCCCCTCAAAAATGTCAAACTCAAGTAGCTTGGACAAGAACAGCCTGAATGCTCATCAAAGCTTCTGCAGTTCCCAAAAACATCAGAAATTTCCCTGGATGCACAAACACTAACAAATTCTCCTCAAACTGTTCACAGCAGATGATGAGGGAGATTTTCAAAGCCTCTCAGACTACATGTGAACATCAGGCTTTCAGCAAGATGCAAGGATTCCAAACCACCAAAAATGTTTTGAAATTGCCTTCTCCAATTGAAAATTGGTTCCATGCCCACATGATTTAAGTTCATGCATTTAAAATCAAAAAACACCTCTCAGATGAAACTAAACAGACAAATGCATGTCCTGGGGCTTTTAAGTCATCTAGAAATTTCAGAATAATGGTTTTGGAAAGTATAAAACACTCTTTAAACTTTTTTCCACTCAATTTTCTGTGACAAGATCAGTGATAACAGCATGSAGGGCAGTGACAGCTTTTATCAAGGATAGGGGGACAGTTGTCTGCACACAGAAACCAGAACAAACCCAGAGCAGCCAGACTGGTAACAACGACATTTTCCAAGGCAAGGAGCACATCTTYCTAACAGGAGACTTGGATAAAGTCTGAAAAGGGGATGGGGTGAAATGACAAATCCCATTTGAATTAGGAGGCAACCCAGAGGGAAAATGAAACCCAATTTTAGATGATGGAGCAAATGTGGCCTCAGCTTTACCATTGCCCTCAGAAGTCCCTTCTCACAAAGGTCACTGGCATCTTTATTTGCTATTTCTGGCCTATGCTGTGCCAACTCCAACCCGCTGACATGGCAATCCCACCCTGCTGCAGTTGGAAAGGGTTTAATAAGTACAGTTAAAAATAAAAAATAAAAAGTGCTAAGCAATTGCAGAATGAAGAGTGTGAAGCGTTTAAAAGAGACAGGAGCTCAAGTTTAACATCTCATAGAACAGCAGAGCACTGCTAAGCCTTAACTACAGCGCAGAAAACCTTCAGGGCACTTGACATTTGCTCCCTCCTTTCCAATCCTTCCCCTCACAGAGTCACCCAGCATCAGTCAGGGCTAACCACAATGTCTTGGCAGGCCCAGGTTTGAAGCAATAATTCAGAGACAAAAATCAGAGCTTTAGAAGAAGAGATGTGGGAGGGGATAGAAGAGAGAGAGGAATATGCAGCAATTCAAGGCTCCTGCTGCTTGGAGCAAAACTGGCTCTAAATTGGTTTGGGATGTGGAATGGGTATGGAGCAGGTTCTTATGGCTCTGGCTGCATGTCAAGCTGCCCACCCATGCTGAGACAKGCCTAGAAGAACATGGAAATATTCCAGGAGGGATGGACCCATCCAGCCACAGGCACAAAGAGCATCTTCCTGAGGGATAAGGACAGCAGTGGGTGTTTTGCTTCAAACCCTTCCCAAGGGTGCTGCACCATTATCCCACTTTTCAGTCTGAAACTCTATGGAATCCTCTTTTTCTGAAAACACTTGGATTTCCTGGAGAGGGCTCAGGAAATTGGGCCATCGAGGGCATTGTTGAAGCCTGGAATGCTYCTCTGGGATGGCTGATGATTGGCAGTGGGGAGAGATCTTGGAGCTTTTCCAGCTCTCCCCCTCCCAAAGCCCACCTTTCTCCTTGGCCCAGTGTTAATGGATTCAGCCACATGAGCCAAGTGTTCATCTGGGAGCTGCACAGTCTAGTACTTGTCCCCTCACAACAGCTGATGAACCAATTTTTGAAAAAACAAGAACTGTATAACATACATCCCAATTCATACTTCATCTTTCCACAGTGACCTTCCATTCACCAGCGGGAAGAAATTCCTTCAGTTTTTAAATAATTTTCTCTCAAAAAATTATGCAAAGTAAAAATATAGCAATTAACAATTCAACTTCCTTCCATCAAGCAAAAATATTGGTCCATCAGTATGAACCTCCAAAGCAGCCAGGGAAAAAATAAAATACCTGCTTTGAGTCTTTCTTGTACTTRTAAGTGGTACTGGGACAAACTGGGAGCAGGAATATTAAGGAATATCAAACAAAGCACAGCTCTTGAAATAATCCTCTCCAAACTGTCTTTTAATTGGTCTTGTCAACTCAGCTCAACATTTGCCAGCAAGGAATGACTTTCTGACAGTCACCAGGTTCCTCCTTCCCCAAACACTGATGCCATGTGAGGGAGAGGAGGAGAAGGAGGAAGAGGAGGAAGAGGAGGAGGAAGGGCTTCCTCCTGGTGCATTCTTGAGATGGTTTTTCAAGGTTGGTGAAGACCCTCCTGTGCAACAAAGTCCATTTGGGGTCTCTGCTCWGTCTGCACCCGGGGAATCCCAGAAAAAGTCACATTTAAGCAGCTGTGTCTCTTCCCAAGGCCCRGCTGTGTTTCACTGCATTAAAACAGGCTAGGATAAACTACAGCCTTCTTGCAAATGAAGGTRACAAAGGGATCCAGGTTCCCCCACCTGGCCAACTGCACCTCTCACCATYACCTCAGTGAAATGAGCAGCAGCACCCGAGTGTTACAAATAGAGACAGGCAAGTTCACCAGGACAGCCCTTTCCAGTGGGAAGAAGCGGCAATGACCAGACACACGGGATTGCTGGACCATTCCTGGCTGGATTATCCACAGACAGTCTCMGACTAGACAGACTTACCTCAATACCACATCAGCCTGGACTCCATACACCTTCTGCTCCACTGCCTTCTGGAAGGACATCAGAGTGTTTTCTGGTGCCAACTATTAGGAAAAAACCAAAAAAAAACGATGAGAGATCAGTAGCATGAAGGAAGTTTACAAAGCAGTGCTGGCACAGATGCTGGGAGAGAAGGGTTTGGAGATACCAGGGTGTCCTGAGTAACCCAAAAYGTTATTATTCCACATTTATCTGTGCCCAAAAAATCCTGTCTTTTCCATAACATGAAGAACAACTTGACACCACATTCTGTAAGACACATTTTACTCACACATCTACTCATTCCATAAAATCATCTCTTAATCTAAAAATCAATTTCTCTAATAGCAAGTGTTCTAGTTTGTTTTAACAATTAAAAAAACAGCCTTAAGCCTAGAAAATCTATCCCTGTGGCTCTTGGAGATAAGGGGTCAGATTTTATTTGAAATTCCTTCCTGCTCAATGGAACAGATGGTAACAGAATTAGGGTTTGTTTAAAATAAAAATGGTGTGAAGACAAACACTTTGCTTTTCCACAAAAGCAGTACAGGGTAGCTACTCCCAAAACACCCATGAAACAACAACAGACAGACCAGAAAAAATAACACTGACAACTACAGAGAGAAAACCTGGCAGGTTTTCTGCACTGAATCACAAACAGATCAAAATAAAGTTGTTTTTGAAAAACAAATTACKTTTTCCCCATTTTTTTCAGGTTTAGAGCACCTGTAACACCCTGTTTTTCCACCACCACTATGAGTTCCATCAGAACACAATGAGCATTCACAACCCATGATTTACTCAGGTTGGAAAGAGGAATAATTAAGTGCAAAGGCCTAATTGCACCATGCAAGTGAAATATAATAATAATAAAATAATAAAAATAAATATACCAACTTGCTTAAGCATTTAGATTGTCTCTAAGTGACATTTGTTTTCTGATCACTTCACAGGCTCAGGTCAGCAAAGCTTTGGGGTAAAATAATCAGAGCAAATGTCAGCACCAACCTTCACCCAGCTCCGGTATCTCAGCACTGAATTCCTCTGGCTCCAGCCACACATCAATACAAGTTCATTTTTATGTTTGTTCAACAAAGGCAGCACAGAGCCACATTATCTTCCTAAAACAGCTCCCAGTCAAAGCCAGACTTGTTTAGGCGAAGACAGAGGCGACACCCCCAGCACACAGCCCAGYGCTGGGTCACCCAAGGTCGAGCTCCAAGAGATCTCCACACATTCCCGATGCCCAGAGCTGTCAGCAGAGAGCAGCAGCCACAAGGATCTGGAGGAACCCAGGCACACTTGCTCAGATCGCCTTGGATTGCTGTCACCAGCTCGTGTCCATCCCCAAGGCACGCTGGTTTCTGCAGGGTAACCCTACGAGGTGATCCTCTCGCAACAGCTCAGTATTTGCTTTTTGCACCCACCTTCCTATAAAAACCTCTCCTACAAAGGCTGGGAGAGCAGGGGTTTATCAGCCTGGAGGAGGCTCTGGGGAGATCATAGAGAACCTCCCACTACCTAAAKGGGCTCCAAGGAGACCTCATTGCAGCCGTGCAGTATTTAAAGGAGGACTGGGAAACAGGAGAGCAAATAGTACACGGGCAAATAGGACAGAGGGGAATGGCTTCCCACTGCCAGAGGGCAGGGACAGATGGGATATTGGGAAGGAATTGTTCCCTGGGAGGGTGGGAAGGCCCTGGCACAGGGTGCCCAGAGAAGCTGTGGCTGCCCCTGGATCCCTGGCAGTGCCCAAGGCCAGGCTGGACATTGGGGCTTGGAGCACTCTGGGACAGTGGAAGGTGTCCCTGCCCAYTCCAGAGCTGAGGAATGASATAATCTTTAAGGTCCCTTCCAGAACACACCATCCTGGGATTCTRTGATTATAACCCTTCAGGCAAAGACAGATCTCCCTGTGAGCATGTGGTAAGTCCCCAACCTGTCACCCTCACATAAATAATTGCCTCTCCCAGTGAGTCCATCATTGATCTGAAACCCACTCTTCCCAGTTCCTGACCTCTCGGTCCATCCAAGCCCTGAGGGAACTGCACAAGCCACTGACACCAATGACATAACTCAGTAAAGCTCAACCAGAAAGCCAGGAAAGCAAATTTAACCTTTTACACTAAAATCAGATGCTGCCTATTCCCAGAGGTGGCACCTCTCTGGAGGCAGGATTGCTCTGTACCAGGGATTTATAAACCCTGAAATGTAAGGGGTTTTGTGAGAAAGGMAAATCTGAAACACATTCTGAGATTTCCACCCTCTCAGCCTGTCTATTCCTTCAAAAAAGAAGGAATTATTTATTTGGTGAAGCCCCAAATTAAACATGTTTAAGGCAAAGATGCATCCAGTTGGGATAGCTGCTGTTACAGGAGTTAATTGCTGTGATTAAGGTTCTTTCTTAAGACAGGCTTTACAGCTAAACTGCAATAACTCTATAAATGCACAGTCCTTCTGCTTGTATTTCTCTCTGTCTCCCACCAGGTTTTTTTTAATGGGATACTTCCTTGGTACAATATATTCAGGTATATTATATCGAAAACCTAAATCCAGGCTTACAACAATAGATACAACTAATTTCTAAAAGAAAAAGCACAAAGCAATGATTTCCAAACCTCCTGTCTTTTATAAACCACACCCACATCACTGAAAGCCAGACAGACCCAGCACAGGATTTCTAGAAGCTCTTCCTCTTCTCTGTGCTTGGTTTGAGAGACTCATCCTCTGCAAAATCAGGCTACTATTCATTTCTTCCTGCTGCAGAGACWCAGCAAGTAATTTCTAGAAAATTACCGTGCATTAACTCATTTTGGTTATTTTTGTGCTTAGAAATCCATTGCAAATGCATTCAAACARAGTCAGGAGCTTTGGGGACTTTCCTTAAAGAAGATTATGAAACTGTGTTAGAGCAGCACAGCCTTGCTGCAGCTGGACATCACCACTTGATGTTTTTCCCTTAATTAGACAGGGCTTAAAAAAGAAACTCATGGCATCATTTGTTGGGGAGGTTAATGAAGAAGCTTGAGCAGAARACCAAAGTTTATTCCAAATTAATTGCAGTCACTGCAAACCTCTGGCAGGTTAAATATCCCTGCCCATGGCAGGGGGTTGGAACAAGGYGGTCTTTAAGCTCCCCTTCAGCCCAAAACATTCTGGRATTCTATGRTTATGCACTAAAGGATCTGATCTACTTTCATCAACAAAATTTAAGGGTATTTTTTTATCCTTTTAGAAATATGGCATTTAAATTATTTTTTAAAGTTAATGTTTCCTCTCTTATCTCTCCTTCCCARTATTAATCTCCTTGTGTCCCATGAGCTGGACAAAAAACTCCACAAGGTAGGATTAAAGAGATACTTTAAAAATGGAATTTTCTTTTGTGTAAAACAATACGCCTTGGAAGTTCCCTGTGTGGGGCTTAGCACGGGATCTGCCAGTCCATTGGATTTCAGCATTAGTGTCCCATCATGTCAGGTGAGTAACATGCCAAGGCAGTAACAGTTCTATTTAAAGCATAAAACAAAACATATCTTTAACCCTGATATTTTAGAAAGCATCCATAACTAACCCTGCCCATGGCAGGGGGCTTGGAACTCAATGGTCTTTAAGGTCCCTTCCCACCCAAACTCAACCAGACTCAAAAGGAAGTGAAAAAGCACAAAACAAACAGGAAAAAACCCAACCCCTGCCACGGACAATAGGATAAACTCATAAGCAAAAGCCATTAGGGATTTAATAACTAGATACAGGAGATGAGACCTCATTATTGTACTGCCCACACAAGAAAGCTGAAGCTTGATTTAATGAAAGACGACCTGACCTGGCACAGATTTATTTCCCAGACAAGCCTTTCTCCTGCTCTGACAGAAGATGTTTATTGTGAGTGTTTTCTGCTCTCAATCAGGCCAGCAGTCAGGTTAACTGCCTTTATTTTTAATATGTAAAGAAGGTGTGCAGCAAAAAAAATGGTTCTTGAGTTCACCTGCACAGGCAGCACAAACCAAAGCTCTTCAGAGCCCTGAAAAAAAGAAAAATCTATCCCAAAGATGGTGGCATTGTTTTAGCAACTAAGAGAAGATAAAATGAAGGTTTCTATGATTCTGTGAAAACCAGCAGCCAGAATAATGCAATGGCACAAACCAGCCTGAGCAAGGCAAGAGTTACCCTCTTGTTTRTATTTGAAACAGCTGAGGTGTCACTTGACTCTGAGTTCTAGCCCTTCCATAGTAATCCTAGGCAGGAAGAGTGCCTCACAGTTGTATTTACTGTATCCATTGCCTGGAGAATGTCCTGTGCAGCCCCATCCTTTGCACAGGCACAGCAGTCAGAGCACAGAGCTCTGATCACTACTCACCATCGGTGCCCCACGGTGCCCTAGGATGGCTGGCTTGGGTCCCAGAGCCTTCTTCTCCATGATGCAGGGGGAGGAGATGGTGAGGGGGACAAGGTAAAGTGCAACTACAACTGCCAGGTAAGCAGTGAACATCAGCATCTGGGAAGCTGGGATGGAAAGAGAGACAAAGAGCTGGTGAAAACACTGGCCCTGACCTCCCCGTGCCACAGGAGCAAAGTCAAAACACCTCTGTCTTCCTCCAGAGGAGAGACTGATCTACTGTCAGTGYCTCTAGTATAAGAGCAGAGTCTGTGTTTAGGGAAAAACATCTCCTATTTAAAAAAAATCAAATCCTGAAGGAGGTTTTCACTTCAATTTGTATTGGGGAAACAATAAGTTAAGTGAATTGCATAGCCCCCAGAAATGCAGTCCAAAAACACTGTTGGTTTTTCCACCCTTTGGGTGGGACAGCACCAAATTGCCTGACAACAGAAATAATTCATCAGTCACACAGAGCTAAAAATAAGCCCAAAAGCCACACTGGTGCATTTAAAGTTTATATTGGTAGTTCACCAACACCACCTACTTCAGCCAGGGCAAAGTCACTTGAGTTGCTCCTTCCTTTCGATTTGTGCCAGCCAGAATTGAGCTCAGTTGCAATAATGTTTTACTGATGAAGCTGGAGATATTTAAGTAAATCCCTGGGCTGTGATGGTGCTGCAGTGCTTGGGGCCAAAGGAGCAGTCCTGCCTCCATCAGCCTTCAACTACCAGTGACTTCCCACCRAGTCCAGACTCCCTGGGAATCCTTGGAAGGTGCTGACAGAGTTACAGAATCAACCCTGTGCCCTGGAGACACTGATGTGTCTTCCTTAAAAAGGAAACAGGCACCTTTGAACTCCTGAGCTATCTGGAGCCACTTGAAACTACAGAAGTTAAAGACCTAATTTTTTAGTTTTTTATTATTATTTATTT